CATTCTTTTTAAATGTGTCATTCCTGCCATAGTAAAGCATGAGATTGTCAGATTCAAAATGGTCAATACCAGTTCATTTCAATGAACTAATTACTTTTTTGCCAACTTTTAACTTTCCTAATTCATACTTCATACATTCCATCTTCCAATTTTTAATGGATGTTTGCAGATTTTCTCCTCATTTTGAGTTGTTTCCCATCAGCAAATAAAGGTTCCAAAAGCTTTATTTCATTTGTGTCATCCTGGTCAATTCTACTTTGAGGAGGCAGCTCTTCCCCAGTTGTGTGTTGAGTTGTTTCCAACCTGAGGAATTCATTTTCTGGCACTATATCTGACAATATTCTGGTCCTATTCATCTGGTGCTTCTTCCAGCACTATATTCTGGTGCCATTCATCATGTTTTACTGCTATTTATAAGGTTTTCAGTGGCTAAACCTTTGGAAGTAGTCCATTTCTCCTTCTTCCAAATCTGTCTTAGTGTGGAAGCTCAGCTGAAACCTGTCCACTATGGCTGACCCTGCTGTTATTCAAAATACTGGGGGCATACATGCTAGCATCACTGCAACACACAAGTCACCACGGTGTGAAAAAATGACAGACGAGTGGTGAACCAAAAATGTGGACAATAATGTACTCAAAAAACCTTCCTTCTGGTAATATGCACAGTAATGAAAAGTTAGGAAACAGCTAAACTGTCAACTACTGAGGCATTAGAATTATGAACAAGAGAGTCTTGTACTTTTCTTATATAAAATACAGGACATGTCTGGAGAAAGATGAGCCTTTCTGCTCCCAAAAAGATTTACAGCCTCAGAAACCCTATACAGTCACTCTGAGTCAGAACGGATTCCACGACACACCACCACCACATTTGACATTTTATTTTTAAGACTAATAGAAAATTTGTGCTATTATCTGTTAATACCCTTGAGTAAGTGAAAAAAAAACTTGAAAGAGCATTTAAAATTAATAGCCTTTGAAGGTAGAGTGAAAACTATAATTTTGTGAGATGACCAGCATCTTTGATAAACAGAAAAATAAAAACTATGAAATTCATTATAAGATATTTAAAACATATTTAGACCTCAAGAGTTACCATTGGTAAGATATAAATTGGAAAAGGGAAATTATAGTGGATTTTCATCTTAACAGAGATTTTATCTGAACTTTTTTTCTGATGTTTTTCAAAGTCATCATTTTTAGGAACTTGTAAGCTTACATTTAGAAGTCAAAGAAGAGGGTGTTTTTTTTGTTCACTGGTCTCTGGTTGTCCTCCTCAACTCCATCCTAGGAAAATAGCAACCCCAGGAAAAAGAGTCATTGTGTGAACAGGATAGAACTTTCTATTTGAAGTCTCAAGGGTTATAGAGAGGAGTAAAATACAGTTCCTCTCCTCATGAAGTTTACAGTGTAGTTGGAAGGATAACGTGAATAAACAGCAAATTGTAATAAAAGGAAAGATAAACTTCATAAGGAAGGCTCACATAATGTGTTATGAGGCTTCATAACTCATTGGAAGAAAGGACTGAATGAATCTATGAAATACCTGTTTTGTGCCAGATTTACATACTCACAGGAGTCATAGATAGATTTTCCTGGAAATTGATTTTGAGCATGGGACCAGGAAAGTTGTTTGCAGAAATTTTATTGGGTAATGAGGAAGACAGGATTAGGCATAGGAGAAAGTTGACTCTCATTGTGGTTTCAACTGAAACTTCAGCTGATTTAAGGAGAGAGCTATGGAGGTTGGTTGTTCTTCAGAGTTGCTTCATATTGAGAAAGGGGGACAGATCTTTGTATTCCTGCATCAACCAGTCTCTAGCCAATATTGAATGGGGCAGTGCCCAGTGAGGGACAGAATTCCTATTAGTTGGAAGATGGTTATGTCAGCTCTGAAGAGGGAACATAGATGGAAAACCCCACAATTTGTTGTTGCTATGTGCCATTGAATCAGTTCCAAATCATAGCGACCCTGTATAGGGTTTCCAAGGAGCAGCTGGTGGATTTGAACTGCTGACGTTGTGATCAGCAGTTCAGAGCTTTTCCTACAGAGCCTCACCAGGGTCACAATATCCACTATAAAATTGGGTATTATTAATTCATCAAGTTTATGTCCTATGTCTAATTTAGTGAGTAGTGTCTGTATTCTTAATAGCTTACAAATGGTCACCTAAGATACTATTGGTTTTTATTCATATGGAGTAAAAGAGAAAGAAGGAAACCCAAGACTCAAGGAAGAAATTGTTCTTCAGGATTAATATCCCACATACACCAGAAGAACTACATGGTTCCCAGTTACCACTACCAACCAATCTGACTGGGGAAACACAATAAATGGTCCCAGATAGAATGGGAGAAAAATGTAGAACAAAACACAAATTCTTAAAAAGAAATAGAAAATCCATACTTATTGGGCCAGTAGAGACTAAAGAAACCTTGAGACTGTCACCCTGTGATACCCTTTAAACTTGGAACTGATACCACTCCCAGAGGTCACTTTTCAGCTAAATAACAGATTAGTTCATTAAAAAAAAAAAAAATCAGCCGTGAGTACTGTGCTCATTTATCAAAAACTATCTATGTGAGACCAAATAGTCAACATTTACTGAAAGCAAAGATGAAAAGGCAAGAGGAATCAGGGAAGCTAGATTAATAAAAACAAAACAACCAGAATGGAAATAATGAGAATGTTGATACATTATTAAAAAAATTAATAAATTTCACTGTATGTGTATAGAATATACATTTCTTAAAGGAGAGCGATCTGAAGGGGAGGAGACTATGGTGAGAATGCTTGCCCCCTTTCTCTCACATGTATGATTTCATTTCTGCTGGACTATCATTTGTTTCAAGTCGTTTGTATATTATAGAATAACAATATGTATAGAAATTATTAAATAGTAACTTAATTTTCTGTGTAAACTTTCACCAAAAACATAATATCACTTAAAAAACCAAGGTTGTTCATTCTGAAATATACTAATGTGCTTTGCTTTATTCATTTCTTCATATATGGTCGTCTCTTTGTTTAGCCAAAAGCAAAGAGGCTCAAGATTTTATGATGGAATACTTAAAGAAGCAAACAGTTCATGTTCAGTTTTTTGACCTGCAAAAAATATTTTTCCAATTCCCCAGTGAGTTAGAAGTCATTAAAACCTAGACTTTTCTGAGGAACAGACTCATTTGCTAAAGTCTGAAAGTACCCTTTTTCATATCAAGAGACAAGCTTGGTAGACTGTGATTCTGTGGTTTTGTTTAGAGCAGAGGTATTGATGATAGAGGATGACAGAGAATGAGGCAGTAGAACCATTTCTTAAAGGAGAGCGATCTGAAGGGGAGGAGACTATGGTGAGAATGCTTGCCCCCTTTCTCTCACATGTATGATTTCATTTCTGCTGGACTATCATTTGTTTCAAGTTGTTTGCAGGTCAGTACTGAAGCCCTCACACTGCATGTCACCCGAAGATAGATTCTAAGTTTTGGTACAGCATCTTACAGAAAAACAGACTGTAGAGGAAGCAAGTATAACTTGAAATTATTTATATAACATTTAGTGTGTCATTTGTGTGGGAGATCAAGAAAAATTTGACTGAGCTAAGTTTGTAAGTGCCTCTAGAATAGTTTTAGTTTTGGGCCATGATCTGCATGTCCTGCTGACCTGATTTCTGAATCTAGTCCTTTTATAACCTTTCAGTGCATAGATAGAGCTTGCCAATTTTCTGTAGGAAAAGCCCTGAATGAAGTCCCATCCGCCCACATCCAGGAATTTACCACCAAATCCAAACAGCACAAACTAGTGTTAGTGGTAATTCCTTACATATGTATGGATCTTTTATCATTGTTTTTTGAAATAACATTTGATTATATTTTGGGTAGAAGTTTACACACATACTCCTGTTGAGTTTGTTCCAACTCATAGTGACCCTACGCACAACAGAATGAAACACTACCAGATCCTGTGCCATCTTTACTACAGTAGTTGCACTTGAGCCCATTGCTGCTGCCACTGTGTTGGTCCATCTCGTTGAGGGCCTTCCTCTTTTACGCTGGCCTTCCACTTTACAAAACATGATATCCTTGTCCCAGGATTGATCCCTCCTGTCAACAGGTTCAAAGTATGAGCGAGGAAGTCTCACCATCTTGGCTTCTGAGGCTGTTTGTTTGTTCTTCTGGCAGTCCATGGTACTTTCAATATTCTTCTCCAACATAATAATTCAGATGCATCTATCCTTCTTATTCATTGTCCATTTTTAATATGCATGGTTGTGTGGACTCATAGCGACCCTGTATAGGGTTTCGGAGGCTGTAAATTAAGTTCCCATTTGACAATTTCTATATAAATTATTCAGTGGTAATACTTACATTTTTCATACTGTCTCAGCATTCTCTTTGCACTCTGGTTGTTCTGTTTCTAATACTCTAGTTTCCCCGCTCCTTTGTAATTACATTTTTGCTATAGAGTAATTGTTGACCTTTTGATCTCCTATAGATGTGTTTTTTGTTTGTTTGGCTTATTTTTAATGGAGCACCATGCTCATTGGCAGTGTCCTTTATTTTGTATGCCGATCTATTATTTCACTAAAAGTTGACGTCGGGGGGATACTTTTGGTTCAAGGTTAAAAGAGGGGAGTAGTCTTGATGTGGTACTGTGGCTTAATGCATTGGACTGCAAAGTCAGTTTGAACCACAAGGTTGGCAGCTCAAGCACACCTTGCTATATGAGTCAGAACCGACTCAATGACGCTTAACAATAACAGTTGCAAGAAATTCTTTAGTTTAAATCTAGCATCATTTTTTGAACACTTGAGTACTGTATGTAAAACTTAGACAATAGATTTGTTTAGTCCCAGAAAGTCTGAGCAACTTCTCAACAAACTGGATTGTCTTCTTTGCCCTGAAAATTTTTATATGAAATTCAATATTTAGAACATGGTTTCAACCATGAATAACATTAATAGGTAAGGTGTCATTTATGCTTTTTAATGTTTCTCTCTCCACAGGTTGCTTACTGTTATATTAGTTAGCCCTATTTTCATGCATTTGAATTATGACTACAACTGGAGATGGGGAATCATTATCACATGGTCTGGAATTAAAGGCGTTTTTAGTTTACTCTTGACTCCTGAGATTTTTAATCTGGCTGAAACAAAAATAAGAGCACCACACATGGTAGGAAAAATAATATCTTACATTCATTCTTATTTATTTGTTTTTATTTTGTAGCACTTGTCATAATATATAATAATTTTTAAATTAGATTTTAGAAATCCATTCTCCTAAGTAGAAAGGAACTCAGAGGAGAGTATATTTATGCTTACAGTATGAAGAGGACCAACAAGCCTGTAGTTTTTATGGATGTGGTATCAGAAGAAGGTGTGTTTGTATCATTGCTCCACCATTCACGGGCTGGCTGACCTTGGGCAAGTTCCTTTGCCTTGTTAAACCTCAGCTGAGGATTAAGATGATGCACGCTTCAAAGTCATTGTGAAGATGGCACAGGTCCCAGCAATGTTATGTTCTGTTGTACTTAGGGTCACTATGAGTCAGGACTGAGTAATATGCTGAGAAATAATATTAATACTTAGTAAAGTACCCGATATCTAGTACATGCTTAATAAATGTTAGCTGTTTTTTCAACAGCTGTCAAAAGCATGATAAAAAGAATGCATTTATCTACACATTCTAATCTCTAAAGCAAAAAAGTGAAATGCTGGCTAAGGACTCCTGGTGTGGCGCTGTAGGATCAGCCCTGGACTGTGAACCACAAGGCCCGCAGTTCAAACCCACCTTGGAAACCCTGTAACTCACTATGAGTTAGAATTGACTCGACAGCACTTAACAACACCAAAGTATACTATGGGAAGAAAGATTTTGTCAATTTTTTAATTAAGGATCTATGTTTTTAAGATTAATCCAAACAATTTTAATAGACTACTATTTAGAACTCTGGTAGTGTAGTGGTTACAAATTGGTCTGTTAACCTCAAGGTCAGCAGTTTGAAACTACCAGCTGTTCCGTGGGAGAAAGATGGGGCTTTCTGCTCCTGTAAAGATTTACAGCCTCGGAAACTCTATACAGGGTTGTTATGAATTGGAACCGACTCCACGGCACACCACCACCACCATTATTCAGAGCAGTATTTGACTTACAGGAAAATTGTGCAGAAACTACAGTGAGTTCTCATATACCTCCACACCCTGCAAATTGTTTCTCCTATTCTCCAATCTACATCTTACATTCCTGTAGATTGTTTATGATTGATAAGCCAATACTGATAGAATATTAATAACTACCATTCATAGTTTACATTAAGTTTCACTCTTTGTGCTATATAATCCGATGGGTTTAACAGATGCTTAATGTCATGTGTCCACCATAGAGTATCCTATAGAATAATTAAATTGCTTAAAAATATCTGGTTCTCTATCAGTTCATCTCTCTCCCCTTCTTCTGAACCCCTGTTGTTGTTGTTGAGTTTATTCTGACTCATGGTGACCCTACGCACAACAGAACAAAACACCACCAGGTCCTGTGCCATCCTTACTACTATAGTTACACTTGAGCCCATTGCTGCTGCCACTATGTCGAACAATCTCATTTGGAGGTCTTCCTTTTTCACCCTGGCCTTCCACTTTTCCAAGCATGATATCCTTGTCCCAGGACTGATTGATCCCTCTTGACAACACATCTGAAATATGAGAGATGAAGTCTCGCCATGCTAACTTCTAAGGCTGTGCTTCTTCACCACAGATTTGTTTGTTCTTCTGGAAGTCCATGGTACTTTCAATACTCTTCTCCAACACAATAATTCAAATGTATCTATCCTTCATTGTCCAGTTTCCACATGCATGGTTGTAGTGGTTATGTGCTTTGGAGTCAGTTGTGACTCATAGAGACCATGTATAGGGTTTTTGAGGCTGTAAATCTTTATGGAAACAGAAAGTCTCATCTTTCTCCCGTGAAACAGCTGGTAGTTTCAAACTATTGATCTTGAGGTTAGCAGTCTGACCACTATGCAAAGATGAGGCGATTAAAAACACCAAGGCTCACCTTAGTCCTTAAACTAACACTTTTTTGTTGTTCTTAGGTGCCAATTGATTCCAACTCATAGCAATTTTGTATAGGATTTCTGAGGAGCAGTCGGTGGTTTTAAACTGCCAATCTTATGGTTAGTATTCCTGTGTTTATCCACATCAGGACTCTAAACTAACATTTTAAAAGATCTTTGGCAGCAGATATGCCTAATGCAATACATCATTTGATTTCTTGCCTGCTGCTTCCTGAGTGTTGATTGTGGATCCAAGCAAAATTAAATTCTGTACAACTTCCATCTTTCCTCTGTTTATTATGTTTATTATTATTGTTGGTCCAATTGTGAGGATTTTTATTTCTTTTACATTGAGGTGCAATTCACACTGAAGGCTGTAGTCTTTGATCTTCATCTGTATTTCAAGTCCTCTGCACTTCTAGGAAGCAAGGCTGTATCATCTGCATATCAAAGGTTGTTAACAAGTCTCCATTCCTGATGCCCTGTTCTTCTTCATATAATCTATATTCTCAGATTATGTGCTCAGCATACAGATTGAATAAGTATGGTGAAAGGATACAACTCTAGCACAGACTTTTCCTGATTTCAAAACCATTAACTATCCTCTTGTTTTAACAACTGCCTCTAGATCTATGTACAGAATCCTCATGAATACAATTAAGTGTTCTGGAATACCCAATCTTCCCAATGTTACCCACAGTTTAGGATCCACACGGTCAAATGCCTTTACATTGTCAAAAAAGCACAAGTAAACATCTTTCTGGTATTCTCTGCTTTCAGCTAAGATCCATCGGACATCAATGATGATATTTCTAGTTCCATATTCTCTTCTGAATCTCGCTTGAATTTCTTGCAGCTCTGTGTAAATGTATTGCTACAACCGTTTTTTAATTATCTCCAGGATAATTTTACTTGCATGTGATATTAATGATATTGTTTGATGATTCCCTCATTCTTTTGGGTCAATTTTCTTTGGAATGGGCACAAATATGTATCTCCTCCTATCAGTTAGCCAAGCCAGGTCGCTGTCTTCCAAACTTCTTGGCATAGACAAATGAGTACCTCCAGTGCTGCATCAGTTTGTTGAAGCATTTCAGTTTGTATTCCATCACTTCTTGGGGCCTTTCAGTGAACTTTCTTCCTTCAGTAGTGTTGTTTCTTGATTATATGCTACTTCTTAAGATAATTGATCACTGGCCAGGTTTTTGGTACATTGCCTCTGTGTATTCCTTCTACCTTCTTTTGATACTTCCTGCATCATTCAATATTTTGCTCATAGAATTCTTCAATACAGCAAGTCAAGGCTTGAATTTTTTCCTCAGGTCTTTCAACTTGAGAAATGTTGAGTGTGGTTTTCCCTTTTGGTTTTCTAACTCCAGGTCTTTGCATGTTTCACTATAGTATTTGACTTTGTCTCCTTGAGCTGCCCTTTGAAATTTTCTGTTCATCTCCTTTACTTCTTCATTTCTTCCAGGTGCTTTACTTGAAAGAACAAGTTTCAGAGTCTCTAAAAACATCCATTTTTGTCTTTTTTTTCTTTTAAATGATCTTTTGCTTTTGTCATGTATGATGTTCTTAATGTCATCCCACAATGCTTCTGGTCTTCAGTCATTAGTGTCTAGTGCATCAAATCTGTTCTAGTGATGATCTGTAAATTCAGGTGGGATATACTCAAGTCATATATTGTCTCTTGTTGACTTGTTTTAACTTTCTTACAGGTTCAGTCTGAATTTGCATATAAGTAGGTGACGATCTGTTCCACAGTTGATACCTGGCCTTTTGGGGGCTGATACATCTTTTTCCACAGTTGTAGTCACTTTGATTACTGTGAATTCCATTTGGTGAGGATCACATGTGCATTTATTTTGTTGTAAAGTGCTGTCGAGTCATTTACAACTCATAGCAACCCTGTATAGAGTTTCTGAGGGGTGACTGGTGAGTATGAACTAGCAACCTTGCGGTTCAAACTGATCTTGTGGTCAAGTGCTTATCCTACAGCTCCACACCAAGACTTTTTATGTTGTTTAAGAAGGTATTTGCAATGAAGAAGTAACTGGTCTTCCAAAATTCTATCCGGTGATCTCCAGCACCATTTCTAATATCAAGACCATATTTTCCAAGTACTAATCCTTCCTCTTTGTTTCCAACTTTTGCATTCCAGTCACTCATAATTATCAATGCTTTTTGATTACATGTTTGATTAACTTCAAAGACAAGAAGTTGGTAAAATTATCCAATTTCATCATCACTGGTTTTAGTAATTGGTGCGTAAAGTTGAATTATAGTGGTGTGAGCTAGTCTTCCTTGTAGACATGTGGATATTATTCTATCACAGACAGCATTGTACTTCAAGATAGATTTTGCAATGCTCTTTTTGATGATGAATATGATACCATTCCTCTTCAATTTGAAATTCCTGGGATAGTAAACCATATGTAGTTCTGGTTCAAAATGGCCAGTACCAGTCCATTTCAGCTCACTAATGCCTAGGATATCAATTTTTATGTGTTCCATTTCATTTTTGACAACATCCAATTTTACTAGATTCATACTTCATACACTCCACATTCTGATTGTTAATGGATGTTGGCAGTTGTTTCTTCTCATTTTCAGTGGTGCCACATCAGCAAATGAAGGTCCTGAAAACTTTGCTCCATTTACATCATTATGGTCAACTCTTCTTTAAGGAAGCAGCTCTTCCCCAGTCATTTTTGGAGTGCCTTCCAACCTGAGGGACTCATCTTCCAGTACTATATCTGACAATGTTCTGCTGCTTATTCAGAAGGTTTTGAGTTTAGGACTCCTGGTGTGGTGTGGTGGGATCAGCACTGGACTGTGAACTACAAGGTTGACAGTTTAAACCCACCAGATGCCCTTTGGAAACTATACAGACTCACTATGAGTTGGAACTGACTTGCTAGCGCTTAACAACAACCATGCTGAAGTGTTCTGACACTCTTTCTTCCTAGTCCGTCTTAGTCTGGAAGCTCCACTGAAATCTACCCACCATGGGTAATTCTGCTGGTCTTTAAAATACTGTTGATTTAGCTCTGTATCACAGTAACATGCAAGTCACAACAATACGACAAACTGACAGGTGAATGGTGGTCTAAACCCTTGGCCATCACCAATCTTTTCACTGACTGTAATTTTACCTTATCCCGTATGTCACATATCCGTATCATAGAGTATGCTGCCTTCGTAGTGTGACTTCTTTCACTTGTTAAGTGCCATCGAATCAGTTGTGACTCATAGCCACCCTGCATAGTGTTTCCAAGGAGCTGCTGGTGGTTTTGAATCACCAATCTTGTGGTTAGTAGTCCAATGCTGATCTGACAGCACCAGATAGCTGCTAGAAATCCCTAAGACTACCTCTCCTACTTCTCACTCAGAATAATTAGAAATCTGCTCTTGGGAAGGAGAAAATCACTTAAATAATACGAGTTTAAGACCCGTTTCCCCAAAGAACTTAATTTAGATGTACATGGACAGATTTTCCTGATATTATCTGATTTCTAGTCCAGCCTTTTCTCCTCTTTGCTATTTTGCTCCTGTCTCAAAAGCATCAAGGAGATCTGGAATACTTTCCTTTGGGGGGAAGAAACTGTCACCCTCTCCATATTGTAACTGTGTGCCATCCAGTTTGTTCTGACTGATAGCAACCCTGTATAGCGCCTCCGAGAGCAGCCGGTGGGTTTGAACTGCTGGCCACTTGTGGTTACCAGTCCACTGCTAAACAGCACCACTGGGAAAAATATAAATAAATAAAAAAGCTTTCTGTATGTAGATGTTAGGAAAAGAATTCAGGTGCCCTTAATCCTAAAACAAGAATGTTTTTGACAAAGTATCACATTCCTTACCATATCTTCCCTGAAGAGTTACACTTTATATCTGTGGGTATGGACTGGGAATAAATTTGAGGCTCAAACACACTTATAGTTTTACAAAGACTTTGGGTCCTTCCATATGTCAAAGGAAAAATACAATAAGTAACATCTGAAATCCTTCCACTTTTGTGTGTGTGTGCAAGGCACTGGCCTAAAATCAAATCAGCAACACTATAACAAACATCTGGATATTATCTTACAATGCTTTCCAAATGTGTTTACTATTACAAATCTTCTTGGTTCCACCCCAGATATACAGAGTCAGAAGATCCAGGGAAGGGGCCTGGAAATGCTTAACTAGCATGATTATTATCAGTCAAATTTGGGAAACACTCTCTGAGGTAGATGCTGCTATTAAATCCACTTTATAGTGAAAAGAGGCTTGGCATAGTTAAGTATCGGGCCCCAAGTCACACAGGCAAGGCCTATAGCGTGGCTGTGTTTCTGCCTCTCTATCACATCTTACTAGACACCACCACAATTCTTTGTCTCCTTCAGAGCCTCTGTGTACAGCTACAGTAAATACTGGTGGCAAATACAATCTCCTTTTCTACCCATAGTCACCGGTGTCTACTATTGCTGAAGACGTCGCCTCACACTGTAGGGTCCACACCTGTGTACATGATGGGTGCCACCTTGCTGTCTTTGTGTGGCTGCTGATGAAAGTAACAACTGTGGAGAGTTCTCCTTTCAGTGTTCTTATCCCAGAAAATACAAAATCAATTTGTCCCTCATTTAGATAGAAAATTAATTTATGTCCCAGATTATTTATTGTGCTCTGGCAGTATCCACAAAATGGGCCTACTTATTCAAGACAAGATTTTAAAATGTGGATTAGAGTTTTGTTGGTGGCTACTTGAACAATGATAACCTTTGGAGAAATTATTAGTATTTTGGCTCTGACTCTTTGTGTCCTTTGTTTTTAGTGTATACTCTATGTACAAGTGATAGCATTATTGACTATGGGAATAAATTCATACATGATGAGTCAGTCCGCCAAAGCATTAGGTAAAGTATACCTATCTTTCACTAATTAACTTGGGGAAATAATGTAAACAGGTTATATATTTTGGGGTCATGAGGTTATTTCCTGTGGTGCTCAAGTATTTGGTTCAGAAATCATTTATTTTCTCTAATTCATTATATATAGATGTTGTATTTCATTGGTTCAGTCCTACAGAACCACACCAGGAGTCCAAGTATGGCCTTGTTGTTAAGTGCTGTCAAGTTGGTTCCAACTAATAGTGAACTTGTATAGGATTTCTGAGGAGCAGCTGGTGGATTTGAACTTCCAACCTTGTGGTTCACAGTCCACTGTCAATCCTATAGTGCCACACCAGGAGCCCAAGTCTGGCCTTAGTACAGTTCAATATTCCATGTGCTGATCTGCATCTTTGCTGATATAGAGACCTAATTTTGTCAGAGTATCTAGAATTGATCAGACTCCTTGAGATTTATACTCCTGACTCCTTACTACACACTCACAGCAAAACAGAATATCAATTTATTAATTTATATTAAGAATTAAATTTTTTCTATGTCAAAAATATTTATGATCATTAATTAGGGTTGTTGTTGTGTGCCGCTGAGTCAGTTCTGACCCTCAGCGACTCTGTATAGGGTTTCTAGAGTGACTGATGAGCTTGAACCGATGACCTTGCAGTTCAAACGGCTTTGCAGCCCAGCGCATTAACCCACAGTGCCACACTTGTTGTTGTTGTTGTTGTTAAGTGCCGTCGAGTTGGTTCCGACCCATAGCGACCTGTACAGGGTTTCCAAGGTTGTAAATCTTCACGGGAGTAGAAAGCCTCATCTTTCTCCCGTGGAGAAGCTGGTAGTTTCGAACCGCTGACCTTAAGGTTGGCGGCCCGATTCGTAAACAGTGCCACACTAGGACTCCTTAATTAGGGTATTCACCTCCAAATACCAGTTTTCTTGATAAATCAAATTAGTGAGTAGGTTTCTTGAAGAACATAGAAATAATGAGAGGGCAAAGGAAAGGCAGTGCCGAAGGAAAGTTCTAGACAGGAAAGTAATATGATGAATTTACCTGCCCTGTCCACAAAAGAGGGTGTGTGGTGGCACCAATGGATAAGCACTGGTCTGTGAAGCACAAGGTCTGTGTTTCAAGCCCACCAGCTGTTCCATGAGAGAAAGATTTGCAGCCTTGGAAACCTTATACAGGTTTGCTGTGAGTCACACTGACTCTATGACACTTAACAACCCACAAGTGCTCTTGTTGTTCTTGTGGGTTCATCCATCAGCTTGTATCTTCTCAATCTTGCCAGTTCCTGGAACATAAACACCATTGCAGTACTTCCTGTGACAGTTTACCTCAAAGCCAAGGGCTCCAATGTGTGAGTCGCGCTAGTAAATGAGGCAGGTTTGGGGCAGCTTTCTTTTTCTTCAAGTTATGGGCTTGTTTTGTCTGCATGGAAAGGTGTGCTTGAATCAGTAAAATCCTGTTGCTGTTGTCATTTGTGGTTAGTGAAGTTGTTTCATGACGCTGTATAACAAAGTAGAACTTCCCTATGAGGTTTCCTAGGCTGCAGTCTTTCTTTACAGGAGCAGATCACCAAGTGCTTTCTCCCCGATTTGACTCACTGACCTCTTCCGATCAGAAGCTTAACCATTGCGTCACCCTTGAAGTACTGTTATTGTTGTTGTTAGGTGCCAATGAGTCCGTTTCTACTCATAGTAGTGCCCTCCGGTGCCAGAGTAGAGCTGACACATAGGCTCTCCTAGGCTTTGATCTTTATGGAAGGGCGCACACTGCCATGTCTTTTCTGGAGTGGAACAGCTGGTGGGTTTGAACTGTGGGTTAGCCCCAAAGTGCTTATTCATTGTGTGATGTTAATTCCATCCCTGAAGGCTTGTTCATATGTCCCTTCCTACCAGCGTTTCCTCGGTTCCTCGGGAGAAAGATGAGGCTTTCTGCTGTCATAAAGATTTACAGCCTCGGAAACCCTATACAGGGTCGCTATGAGTCAGAACCGACTCCACAGCACACTACCACCCCCATCCCCCCCCCCCCCATTTCCTTTGGCTAGCATGGATCCAGACCACCTGCCCTTTCTACTTAGGATGTGGTTTCAGAGTTTCTCTCGTGCTTCTGCCTACTCTGACCCTCAAAATCTAGATTACCAAGGGATTTTTATTATCATAGAAATGTTTTGTTTTGCTTTTCCTTTTTCCCACTACAATTTTTTGGTTGCATTAAGTAACCTCAGAATTTTCTTTATTGTGAGACAAAGCTCTATGGATAGATGGAGTTATAAGTGAGTAGGCTAACCTCGTTCACAAATTAAAATTTTCTCTTTGCTAAGTGAGGCTCACAGCTATAACTTCAGATTCATATCTCAAAAAAGAAAAATGCTCCAATATTTGAATTTATAGATTTCCTGGCCAGGAAACTAAAATATCAAATTTGAAGGCCCTTCATTGTAGCGGCCTTTAAATTTAATTATGGGTAAGAATCAGTTGAAGAACTTGTTAAAATGCAGATCCTCAGCCCTTGCTGACTCTGTAGATATGGAGCGGAACCCAGCAATTTGTCTAGTCTAATGTTGTTGTTGTTGTTAAGTGCCGTCGAGTCGGTTCCAATCCATAGCGACCCTGTACAGGGTTTCCGAGTCTGTAAATCTTTACGGGAGGAGAACACCTCATCTTTCTTCCGCGGAGCGGCTGGTAGTTTCCAACTGCTAGCCTTAAGGTTTGCAGCCCGATTCGTAACCACTACGCTAAGCAGCCCTTATTGAGAAATAAGGTAGACAACACATTGAGAAATACTTTGAGAAGCATTTGGGTGCCCTGAAGTAGCAGTTAAGTTAGATGAAGTTGAGCTATACAGCTAACAGGGTAATTTTCTGGAAAGGTTTAGACAAAAATATCCTTGGTCTTTGGTCAGCTTTAGCTATCTAAGTGATCTCAAGATTTCATGTGGACTGTCAAGAAAGTTTGCTTGCTTCTTAGGGCTGTCTTCGCTCTGTATTAAGAACCATGTTTTTCTTTGCCACAGGTTTGTGTTCTATTTCTCTCCCGAGACAAATAGCCATGAAAAATGTCATTCAGCACATACAGGAGATAATAAAGAACACGATAACTTTGTTTAAAACAGAGAATATTTTGACAAATGTGAATTGGACACTAGTGGAAAGAAAAGCCAGGATTGAACACATTTCTGTGAGTTAATAACACCTGCCAAACGAATAGACCTCCTTTCCCTCCCTGACTCTGCCTATGTTGCTTTAGCCTATTACAAACAACTTAGGTCTGCTAACTAAATGTCAGAAAACTGAGAAGATACATTCACTAGCTTTTCCATCTTGGTGAAACAACTTCTCTAAAGAGATCTTGTTGATATAGCCAAACATAGGATTATTTTTGGAGAATTGGTGGTTTTTACAAACTGGCTGTTGGAATAATAACCAATGCCTTCTGCCAATCTGATGTTTCCCTGGGCAAAGGCACTGGGGAATCTCTCCCATCCTAAGAATTTATAAAAAAGCAGAAAGCAAGGCTGCTTCCAAGTAGTCAAGGACAGCCTGGTTTGGTGAAGAATTTGACTTCTAAACCTCCTCAGATGAATATTTATTTCACCACAGTTGAAAGCAACAAGTCACATGAGAAAAATGTTACCCAAGGTATACAAAAGTACCATTTTAGCAATTCTGATATGAGTGACTGAAATCTCTGTTGAGCACAGCATTTACCAGTCCCTACGAGTCAAAGTCAACTTAATTGATTTAGAGGGTAATCATTTTTACTAATCTTTTTAAACTTTATTTCTGTATCAGTCTGATGCTGTTAAGTTTTCCCATGTTTCACATAATCAAAAAGAGGCGTCTCTAACAGATGAAGATTTAATAGAAGAAGCCAGATTGCATATATCTGTGATACAAATGGTTGGTACTGCTTACGTAACTTGCATTTTATTTATTTGCTTTGTAATGTCCTTAACCCTTATGTGCTATTTGTTTTCAGGTGACTAGGAAACTTCTTTTTCACCTTTTGATAGTCTGTTGGCTGTTAAAAATTAATGTTTGGTTAATTATATTGTAAAATAAAAATTAGAAAATATATTCTTCCTTACTTTAAATTCAAGCCATAAACCTGATTATTCTAAGTCTTGAAAAATTTAGCAGTCATTTTTGGAGGGACCTTTGAATAATGTTCAGTACCATATATACGCTTAATTAAAAATTCTTAAACATTTTAAATGTTAATAAATTTAGCATATCAAGCGTCTTTAACACAAAATCTTCTCAAGTGTTTAATTCATTGTTGTAAATAAGAAGGGGCTTCAAAAAGTCCATGGAAAAATTCCATTATCTTTTAATTAGATTCTTCCACAAAATTTTGAAGCATCCTCATATATTAAGTTAAACTTACAAATCTGGCTAAAGTTCTCTTAGAATGTAGTTCTAATGTTTAAGTGTTCTAGAATAAACATATTGCCAATTTAAATAAATTTTATTAAATTGTACATTTAAATTTAGATTATATTCTTATAGGAAAAATGTTATTAAATATCACAAGTATATAAAATATACAACATGCACAAAATCCTTCTTTTCTACTTTTTGTTTAAAGCATATTAATATTAAGAATTTTTAACATATACAAAAGAAGACAGATCATCTATAAATATTTCAGAATGTATTTCTAAATTAGAAAATATTCTCAAGAGTTAGTAAAACACAAATGTTGTTGTTGTTGTTGTTGTTATGTGCCGTGGAGTCGGAACCGACTCATACACAAATATTGCAACTAAAATGAATAATTCCTTAATTACATCAAATATTCAGTCAGTTGTCAAATTTCTGATCCTCAAATTTTCCATCATAAATGGGATACTTATTTTCACCCTTAAAATGTTCAAATTGGATTTAAATAAGGTCCACACATTGTAATTTACTGATATGTTTAAGTCTCTCTTTTATCTATAAATGCCTTTTCTTGTTTTCTTTCAGTAACATGCATTTTTTTTCTTGTTGTGAACATTTTATTGTTCTTTAGGTAAAAGTCTAGGAAGCAAATTGGTTTTATATTCAGTAATTCTTGCACAAAGTGTTCCCTTACATTAGGTGCAGTCCTCACACTCTGTCAGCATTGTGTCCATTTCCACCCTGGGTTCCCTGGTCTGGTTCCCCTGCTCCTTCCCTACCTTCTCATCTTTGCTTTTGGGCAAGTGCTGCCCTGTTGGTTTCCTACAGTTGATTGTTTTAAGGAGCACATTCCTGATGGTATTAATGGTTCATTTTACAGGTCAGTCCATTACTTGGGGGGGGAGGGGGGGGAGGTGACCTCCAGGAGAGATTTCAGTTCCAAGTTAGAAGATTGTTTAAAGGATTCCTCTAGTCTCTAGCAGACCAGAAAGTCTGGTCTTTTTAGAGAACATATTTATCCTTAGTACAAAATATCAATGCTATGTTTTCACTCTCTTGTATGTACATTCCACTAATAAATCACAAAAACAGCCATCAGAATTCCTTGCCTGGATAATATTACCTTTAGTTTGTCTCTCTGCCTCCAAGTTTACTACTCTTTGTGTTGTTAAGTACTGTGGAGTCAGTTCTGACTCATAGTGACCCTGCACAGGGTTTCAGAGGTTATAAATCTTTATGGGAACAGAAAGCCTCATCTTTCTCTCATGGAACAGCTCGTAGTTTCAAACTGCTGATGAGGTTAGCAGCCCGATTCATAACCACTACACTACCAGAGCTCCCTATGTCAGAGTAATATATCTACAAGACAGATGTGACCATATTACCTTTCTGCTTAAAATCTTATGATGGCTCCCTAGTGCCTACAACATTTTCCAAAGTGAGATCCAAAAATTGCTTGCTCCATAGAATGTTAGTAACAAACTATGTGAAAACCAAAAAGGTATTGTACTTGTTTGGGAAATTTATTTTTTAAAGACTTTCTTGTAGAACTTCTCAGAGCTTTTAACATTTTGATATGGACTGAGATTTTCCAAGAAGGGATACTGAATGCAACATTTCCTTTGTACAGAGAATCCCATCCTCTTTACCCCCTCACTTTTTTTTTTTTTTTTTGGCAGGGATGGTGTTCAAGGAGTATCTCGTGAGAATATATGCTATGCTGTAAAAAAAACTTACTTATATAAGACAAAGTATAAATACAATATAGGATCCCTGGTGGTACACTGGTTAAGCACTCAGCTGCTAACTGGGAGGTTGGCAGTGTGAAAGCACCCACTGATTTTGAGGGACGGGGGTGGAGCCGGAATTCTGTAAATCTGTTCCTGTAAAGGTTGCAACCTAGAAAAAAACCCTCTGTGGCCTTTCCATTCTGTCACATTGGATCATTATGAGTCAGAATTGATTCATTAGCACCCAACAATAAACACAAGTTACAAAGTTTTCTGTAGTCTGGCTGCTGACGATTTCTCTGTTTCTCTCACCCTTTGTCCTTACTGCTTTTAGAAGGCAGCCCTAAAGTTTGCATATTACCTTATGAAAACTATTATGGGTGGATTCTTTTCCTAACTCTTGGAAAAAGGAGCAGTGAAAGGAGTAACTGTTGCCTCCAGAAATAAAACCAAAAACTCAAACCAGTTGCTGTGGATTCAGTTCCTACTCTTGGCAACCCATGTGTGTCAGAGTAGAACTTGCTCCATAGAGTAAACAACGGTTGTACCCTTTCAAAAGTCCATTGCTAAGCCTTTCTTTGGAGGTGACTTTGGGTGGACTTTCACCAAAAATCTTTTAGCTAGCAGAAAATATATTTGCATAACATAGGGGCTCATGCCACAAGAAATTAATAGTGTGAATTTCTTCTTTGCCTTCAGGGATTATCATTCTTAATACTGTAGAACTTGATAAAATATGCTAAAAACAACCTAGCTTAGAGATATTGTGTATAAATAATGAATAGGCAAGAGTACATGGTCAATCTTTGAGGGTGAGTTTTATGCAGTGATCCTAGGAGGAACTTTAACCTCTGAGCTCAGTGTGAGAGGCATCTAAAAGTTTTTTTGGGTGGAGGTGGGGGGAGTGACACTTTTGTCTTTTGATTATGAAGAATCTCTTGATGAATTGAGGTTAAAAGTTACACTTAAAATGATGCTCTGCGCAATCTCTCCTGCTGTAGAAAAATGGTACCACTGATGCTATTTATATTATTGAAATAGAGTAGATAGAACTGTTTAGATTTTGAGTTTCTTGAGACTAGGAGCCTTTGTATCCTTCATAATATCAAGGAAAGTACGTTGCAAAAAAATGGGTATTCAGTAAGTAATTGAATTGAGTGAAATTTATTTCCTGCTATAATTTTTTGGTAATAGTATATTTTCATATGTGAATTCAGTAATAATACGGGGACTGTGTAAGAGTTAAGGAAAACATATTACATTTATGTTTTGATTCTTAATAATTTTAATTTAAAATTTTATGTTTAGAGTAGTTTTGAAAAACAGTGTAATGAAGGAATCCTCACTGTAGAGGCAGCCCGGATATTAATTGGTGCAACCAAAAGCTATTGCCCCATCCAAGGAAAGTAAGTTTAATGCTTATTTAATTGATATTCCTCAAATTAAGTAGGTATGTGATAAAGAATAAACAAACTGAGAATTAAATATCCAAACAGATTGGTAAATCTGTCTCATCTATCTATATCCATCCATTCATCTTTCTGTTTGTCCATCTGCCCACTCAACTAACCACCTATTGATTTCTTCTTTTACTCATTTTATTTTTCTATCAAGTTTGATAATCCTAATGACATTAGGAGATTCTAGTGCAAGTTCTGATTGCAATATAATTAGATAAGCGCCTAGGGGATCTATGAAAGAGAAGCTATATAGTTTCAGTTATTATTAAAATTTTATTTCACTTTGACATTATAGTCACTAAACTACTGGATAGGGGAGGTAGGGAAACCTGGAGCCTACTTAGAGAATACTCCCTAGGGTGGGGAATGGACCTAACAGCTGGCACTGATAGATACCTTTAGGTGTGTTGGGGAAAGCTCAGTGTCTTAAAGATATAGTAATATCTGGTTCCTGGTGCCACAGTGGTTAAGCACCTGGCTGCTAACTGAAATATCTGTGCTTGGATCTCACCAGCCTATCTTCGGGAAAAAGATGTGGCAATCTGTTTCCATAAAGGTTTAAAGGTTGGATATGTTGGGACAGTTCTATACTGTCCTGTAGGATCACTATGAGTTGGGATCAACTTCTGGGCAACAGATAATGTTTGATCATAATCTTGGCAAGCATTTCGTAATGGATGGTCCAAAATAAAATGGTGAGGCAAACCTGGCCCAATGAGAAGAGATCCTGGCTATGTAAATTAACATTTTAGGTAATCTATCTAGGATAAGACCTGGACTTTAGAAAACCAAAAGAGAAGAATATGCTCAACATCTCTCAAGCTGAAAGAACTGAAAAAAAAAAAAATCAAGTGTTCACTTGCAATATTGAAGGATTCTATGGGAAAAATATTGAATGCTACAGAAAGCATAAAAAAAAAAAAGATGGAACAAAATATACAGAGTCACTGTACCAAAAAGAAAGGGACAATATTCAACCATTGCAAGAGATAGCATATGACTAAGAGTCAATTGTACTGAAGGAAGAAGTCCAATGTGCACTGAAGACAATGGCAAAGAACAAGACTCTGGTAGTCAATGAAACACACATTAAAGTCTTTTAACAAACTGAAGCAGTACTAGAGAGGTACTCAGTCATCTATGCCAGGATTTGGAAGACAGCTACCTGGCAAAACTGACTGAAATAGATCTGTATTTGTGTCCATTTCAAAGAAAGGTAACCCAATGGAATGTGGAAATCATCAGACAGTATCATTAATATTACCTGCACGTAAAATTTTACTTAAGATAATTAAAAAATGACTGCAACAATACATTGACAGGGAATTGCCAGAGGTTCAAGTCAGAACTGCCAGAGGATATAGAATGAAGGATGTCATTGCTGATGCAGATGGATCTTGGCTGAAAGCAGAGAGTACCAGAAAGATGCTCACCTGTGCAAAAATTGACTATGCAGAGGCTCTCGACTATGTGGATCTTGATAAACTATGGGCAACATTGTGGAGAATGAGTATTCCAGAATACTTAATTGTGCTCATGAGGAACCTGTACATAGACTAAGAGGGAGTTGTTAGAACAGAGCAAGAGAACACTGAATTGTTTAAAATTAGGAGTGGTATCCACTAGGGTTTTATTCTCTCACCATACTTATTCATTTATGCTTAGCAAATAATCTGAGAAGATGGATTATATGAAGAAGAATGTGGCATCAGGACTCATTAACAACTTGTGATACACAGATATCCAAACTTGCTTGCTGGAAGCTACCAGGACTTAAAATATTTACTGATGAAGATCAAAGACCACAGCCTTCAATATGGGTTGC